GAACTTTTTATTGCTCCCCCTAAGCCCCACTTCCTTTCCCTGACTTCAAGGCTGCTAGTTACTCCAACCCCACTCCCCCTTCATCGGGCTCCCACCATACCCACAGGTATACCTGCGCACCCAAGGCTGCATGGCTCCTCCTTCCCTCTGTACCTCTTCTCCTGATTTATCCCACTCCATCCAGTGAATAGGACTTAGGGGTCAGAAGACCTGGGTTCAAGCCCCCTCAGCCATCTACTGGCTGTGTGATAGTTACCAAGGTCACCTGACTTCTCTGAGTCTTGACTTACTCATCTGTAGACTGGAAATCATAGGGCCTCACAGGACCATGGTGAAGAGCAAAATCAAACAAACAAACAAAAAACTTGCTCTAGAAATGATGCAAAAGTGAGCCTGATCTTCAGCCTTCCCAAACTCACACTGACGGCTTCTGGACAGACAACAGCTTGCGTGCTCGTCCGCACCGGGCCTCCCACCTCCCCAGCAGGTCTGAGAACTGTGGCTGCCTTTGCTCCCCGTGCTCCTGCCCGTTGGGGCCCCCAGTTGGCGTCCCATCAACCCCGATGAGCGAGCAAACCAACACAGACAACTCAGCGCCGTCCTGCGGAAGACACGCTGCTTGAGAGGCCCCATGGACAGCACTTTGCCCCGCAACACACCGTCGAGGGGCCTAAAGTCCGCACCAGCCTGCTAATCAGAGGCCCTATGTCAGAGCGCCCTGCATCCTCGAAAAAACTGCCCACACGCTGGGCAGGTGTGAGGGTCCCACTACGATCCAAACACTTGACATTCTCAGAGTGTTTGAATTCCCCAATTCATTGAATTTTTGCAGTGGCCCTACAAGGCGGGTGATACAGATTTCCATTAATCGACCAAGAAAACGGGCTCAGCAAGGGTAGTGAACAGACTGGTAGACACTTGGTTTCTGGGAGAAAGGACATGACTGGAACCCCAGTCTGCCCTCCCAAGCCAGGCTTTTCTCCCAGTGACAGCCCTCTGGAAAGGGCAATTGTTCCGATTTCCAGCAGCAGGTGCCGCACAGACCTGCCACCCGCCGCAAACGAGAGGCGGCATGCTCCTCTGTTTAAAATGAGAGGACATCGCACCAAGGCCCCCAAAGGCAGCCCTAAAGTCCAAAACAACCTCAGTGGAGAAGGAACCCTGGACAGAGCATGAGACAGGGGACTATCCACATGAGAGGACGTGGGCAACTTCGGGCAGGACCCACTTACGGGTGCCATCACCGCCCACGAGCACATAGGAGGTGGGACCAGAACCTTTCCAACAGACGGAACCACCATTCCTCACAGGCCAGAGACCGCTTTCCCCATTCCCACGTCCTGCCGGCCCCTCGCCAGCGGCTCCCGCTACAGGAGTCTGATTGAAACAAGCCAGTCTGTCTGTGGCGGGAATCGGGACACAAGGACTCATGCTTTGGTAGCCAGGATGGCTATCACAGCTCACAGATGCCCACTTCGGACCCACCTGGGGCAGTTTCTGCTTTGGCCTTTGCAAAGCCGGATCCAAAATGAACTGAGCCCTGTCTGGCTCCTCCTGGGCAGGCAGCGTGAAGGCAGGCGCCTTATAAACAGGGCCAGCGCCAGGCCTCCTGCCACCTCCTGCCTCCTCCTGCACAGCTGACTTGCAGAGAAGAAAGACTCCCTGCCCACAGGGGTCCCAAATCCCCACACCTGGAAATGTTTCTATCTGCTGGTGAGCAACCAGAATCACAAAGGAAAAGTGTGAACTCGGATGGAAAACTCTGGAAAAGCCAAGCCACCAGGGAGTAGAGTGAAGAGGAACTTCCACCTCTGAAGTGTTTGAAACCCAGTAAGTGCAGAGACCTCACAGTGACCTGCGTGGCTGGACTAATTACCAATGTTATCAGGCGGATGACAGACATGCCCTGAACTTCCTCTGTTTGATAGATTCTGCTGCAAACACACTCAAGTTCAGGCCCATGCCTGCTGTTTCCAGCAGTGCCCTATTTTTCCACAAGACCACTCCTGGCCCGCAACTCCTCTGACCCGCTGCACACCTCTGAGCCCAGCCACACCAGTACACCCATAAAGCACCAGCCTGGTGACTCAGGGAGGGCACCTCCTGCTGGAACATACCACAAAGAATCAGTGCAAACTCCTCCTGGCAGAGGAACAGAAAACCTCTCTTCTTCCCCTGCACAAATTTCAGAGGATGAGATGAGAACCGCTGCTTACCTTTGTCGCCGATGCCACTGGGGAGCTCCAGCCCATGGGTCCTTGGCGGGTCAGCCCTTGGCCAGCACACACCAGGGTCCCACACTCCACACAGGCACCGATGATCAGCTGCCGCCCGTCGTCCACCAAAAGGCTGTGGCTCGCTCGCAGGGTGTAGAGAAACAAGGGCAGCCGGGCCACCCGCACAGCCTTCAGCCCCAGACACCGCTTCCTCTCCTGCTGGCAGAAGAAGCACACAAACGTATCCACTTGGTACTGCCGAGACCAGGCGCTGACAGCATGGTGGGCGTTGCGTGCCTCATGCTGCAGCCACTGGCCTAACAGGTCGTGGTAGCAGAGCACGCAGGTGGCCACCAGGCCGGTGGAGTCAGCAGGCCTGGCACGAGGGGCAGGTGGGTAAACTGTGAGGAAGGGGAAGAAGGGTTCCTTCTCGCCCAAGCGACTGGAGGGGTTCACGTTGAGTTGGAACTCCTTCCCGGGGCCCAGCTCAGCCCCACAGATGTAGCAGATGGACACGGCACTGCCCTGAGCCAATGTGGGCGGCTCGGAGAGAGCAGGGTCTGAGGCAGGGAAGGCCTGGTGGTACCTCCCCAGGAAGCCCTGCACGGAAGTGATGAGCTCCTCATTCTGGCAGGCCCGGTACAGGGCCCAGATGTCCTCCAGGACGCTGAAGCATTTGGGGCAGCTACGGACCTCACAGCGTTTGTTGGGGCCTCGTGCATTGGGAGGGCAGGGCAGGAGGCTGAGGAAGGGGAAATGCATGGTGCTCCTGGCATTGCCGTTGAGGATCCTGGAGGCCACTGCCCGGGCGTCCGGGGTGCAGTCCTCCCCGCAGAGGTAGCAGGCCTCTGGCAGGGTCCCAGGGGGTGGGCCCTCTTCCCTGGGGAGCCTCCTGCCCTTAGAGGCCATGCCGGGGGCGTGGCTGTTCAGAGGCACCACGTACAGTCGCTGCAGGACAGGCACGCTGGCCAACTCAAAGCTCTGCCACTGCTGCATGAGAGAGGAGAAGCAGCAGGGGCACACCAGTGTGCTGCCGCCCTCACTGATGGGCTGAGCCCCCGGGGGTGGACTATGCAGCCACAAGAAGGGGAAGAAGGGGGCCTGGGCCAGCTTCTCCTGCTTCTGCACGTGGATCTGGTGCTGCGAGGCCGGTGACAGCGCCGACCCACAAATGTAGCAGCAAAGGCCCTCTGGTGGTGCAGCCTGGCTTTCCAGCGGAACCCGGGGGACGCGACCACCGTTTTCCTTCTCTTTGGGGCCACAGGGACGCAGGAGAGGCTGCTCCTTTCGGTCCTCCTCCTCGCTGGTGATGTTGATGTCACTGTCCTCAGATAGGCAGTAGCCTCCACGCAACTCCCCCAGCGGTCTGCTCTCCGGAGTCTTGGCGGTCCTGACTGAAGGGGCTCCTTTCATGCCATCTGCAGGGGCCCCTTGGACTGGAGGGCCTTGCCAAGGGTCCTGAATGCCTCTCAGGACACTGGCCCGGGCCTCAGGGACCCAGTGCCTCCCAATGCCCTTCCGCCTGCGCCTAATGCCCGTCTTGGGCTCCCTGTCCACGTGCAGCTTCGAAGGGTCCCCCTCCTCCTCCTCCACGTCACACTGCGCAGCGGTCTCGGTGCTCTGTCCCAGAGGGGGTCCCGGCGCCGGCCTCCACTCCTGGCAGCGGCCCCCGCGAGGCCCGGGCCCCGGAGTGGCCCGCGCCGCTGGTGCCCCGTCCTGGCGGGGACTGACCGCGTCACGCGTGACAGGGTCGGGCTCTGAGAGGGGGTCGGTGTCCGACAGCTCCGACAGCTCCGAGTCTCGAGGCTCTTCCGCAGCAGCTCGGGAACCCGGGCCGCCACCGTCGTCGTCGTGGTCGTCGTCGCCGGCCGCGCCGCCCAGCGCGTAGGCGACGTTCCACTCGCGGGGGGCCCCAGCGCCCCCGCGGCGCCCGCCAGCGCCCGCGTCGCACTGGTGGGGCCGCTTAAGCCAGTACATGCGCTTGTCCACGGGTGTGCGGGCGCGCTCGAAGGCGGCCCACTGCTCGCCCAGGAAGCAGCGGCACACAGCGCACACCAGCACGCAGCCGTCGGCCGGGGACAGCTCGCGCGCGCCGGGCGCCGGCTCTTGCTGCTGCAGGAACGGGAAGAAGGGCTGCGCCGGGGTCCCCGAGCCCGCCGCCGCCGCCGGCTGCTTCACCTGCAGCTTCAGCTCCTTGCCGCGCCCGATCCCGCCGCCGCAGATGAAGCAGGAGAGCGGCGCGCCGCCGCTGCCGCCCGCCGCCCGCTCGCCCACGGCGGCCATGAGCCGCTGTTTGCGGGAGACCGGCCGCCCGCTCATGGCCGCCCCGCGCCGCCCTCAGCGCCCGCCCGCGCCGCCACCGCCGCGCCCAACTTGGAGCATGTGTGCGCGCCGCAAAGTTTGGCGGCGGGCGGCCGGCGCGGGCGCGGGAGCTCGGCCGCTCGCAGGGGTGCTCCCCCGCCCCCGGCCCGCCCAGCCCCCGGCGGCGCCGCGCCCAGCGCGCCCGGAACGCAGCGGCGGCGGCGGCGGGCCCCGGGCGGCTGGAACGGCAGCCGCATGTGCGAGCTCGGCGCCTGCCAAAGCGTTGGGTCATTTAATTGGGGAGGAGGGAGGCGGGGCGGCGGGCGGCGCGGAGGGAGGAGGAGGGAGCAGGAGGGAGCAGGAGGGAGGAGGAGGGCAACGGGCGGGCGGGAGCCGGCGGGCGGGGAATCCCTCCCTCGCGCGCCCTCCCCTCCTCCTCCCCCCTCTCTCCCCCTTTTCCCTGCTGCCCCCCTCCCCCTGCTGTTCCCCCTCCCCCGCGTCCCAAACTGCGCACAATAGCGCGCCGGCTCCTCTATCTATTTTGTGTCCAGCCGGGAGCCGCGAACGATGATTCATTGCCCCAATTAGGGGCTCTCTCCAGCGCGCCCGGCTCGAGCCGTCTGAAGGGTCTCCTCAGGGGACCGCGGAAACCCATCAGCGGCTACAGCTGGTCTTTAAGTAAAGGTCAAGCAGGACGCAGAAGGAGCCAGGTAAGGATGTGGCGGGCGTCCCCTGAGACCAAGGAGCCAGCGGAGGAGGTCTCGGGAGGGGCAGCCGCAGCCCAGGAACCAGTTTCATTCAGGGTGCCACGGCCCCTCCTCACTCTAAAGGGGACTCAGTAAGGACCATTTGCAGCTCTCAGAAGCCCAGAGTTGGGGGCAACTTGCAGGGCCCACTGTTCTAATTTTGGAGACAGAGGGAAAAGGAGCCACCCCTGCCTCCCAGAACACGGTGAATGCACCATCCTGGTGACAGCGTCCTCCGCCTGCCCCCCTCCATACCACTGGCCAGGGGCAGAAAGGGTGCTGTGTGTTCCAGGGCAAATGACTCAACAACTCTGGGGCTGCTCTTCCTCTTGTTAAACAGGACCTCTGACAGGAGAGTCACTGTTTTCATATATTTATTGTGTATGTGAATAGATGCATTGTATTCCTCTAATACACAGAGGGAAACCTTAGCACTTGCCAAGGCGCTTTTCTCAGCTCTTTAGATACATCAGCACGATGGCTCTGCCCAGTAACTTTGGGTTAAGTGTGATGAGGACCCCATTTTATGGATGAAGAAGAGGAGGCACTGAGAGTTAAGTTACTTTTCAGGAGTGGCAGGGCTGGGATTCAGACCCTGCGCTGCAGCATCGAGTCCCCACCACCCTTCTGCTGACGTTCTGCTGACGGAGACCGTCTGTGGCAGGGAGCATGGCAAGGACCCCTCGGTGCTCCCTGCTGTTCTGACTCATGCTGGGAGGCCCTTGCACATCCAGGCCTTCCTCGGCCTCACGTTTCCCATCTGTGAAATGCCACCCCTTCCAGCCTCCAAATTCTATGAGTCTCTGATTTCTGAGCAGGTGACAGCTGTCCCAGCCTGCCAGCTGGAGCCCAGAGTGAGCCTGGGGACAAAGGTGCCATGTGGGCCCCTCTGCCCTCTGGGGCACTGACATGTAAATAAAACTGGGCTTTCTCTGGCGCAGAGGAGGACCATGCATTATAAATAAATGGAACAAGAGGAAACGGCCACCTCTTTGGAAACCCTGGTGGATATTCCAGGGGTCACAGTCTGTGGGTGAACAGGAAAATCATCGTCATCATCGCCAGAAATGCAAAACTCAGGCTCTGACCCAGGCCCGTACAAAAGCTGTGTCAGCCAAGCTGTCCCAGAGGAATGCTGAGGGCAGGGCCAGGGGCTTCCCTGCTTCTGGCATTTTTAGTACCCGGTGAGAGGAGGTATGGTTAGAAAAACTTTGAAGTTAATTGTGTCTTGGCACAAGTATCAAGCCCCACACAGACCAAGAGGTTGCTGGTAAAACAATACCAGCTTAGGCAATGCGGGGTTACTTGTGGGTTCCTTAAGGCTTGACACATGCCGTTCCTTTCACTTCAAGGGCCTTTCCAGGCTCTCTTTTCCAAACCAACTCCTCTTATCTTTATGGTCTTGGCTGCAGTATCTCCCCAGGGAGATTTCCCTGTCTTCTCCATTTCAAGTAGGTCCCTCCTGTTATTCTCTGACTCAGCTCATTGGCGTAGGAATTTGCTGTTGATTTTCTTTATTTTTCTGTTGACTTTTCCCTGTCTGGCTCCCCAGGAGCCTGGGTGCTCCCTCCCTCGGGCAGGAATCAGGTCTGTCTTGTGCACTGTGTGACCTATCCCATCTCTCTCTAGCTCAGTGAGATGTGGGCAAACCTCTTAGCTCCCTAAACCTCAGTTTTCTGCCCTGTACAATGGGCTTTTGCTTCTCACCCTTTTTGCATGTGTGGATCAAATTAGGCAGAGAGTGCAATGCTCTGGGCGCTGGCCTGGCACGTTGTAGGTGACAGTGTGTGTGTGTTGATGCTTCCTGGCTCTCTCCAGTGGTTGAGGAGGTTTTGCTACTGCCTGCCTGCAGCCTGAGGGGAAGGGTGCTGCGATGGGGTCACACACACCATCTGAAGGAGGAGGGTCACAGGAGTCAACAGGGTAGAGAGAGGGAGGCGGAGCTTTCTTGGCTAAACTGAAATCATCCAGGAGAAGTTCCTGAGTATGTGCCACATGCATGAAAATGTGTGCACGCATGTGTTGGCATGTATACTTGTGTGTGTGCTGGTACATATGCATGCATTCAGGTGTGTGTGTGGGTGTGCTGGTATGCATGTGTGCACAATCATTTGAGTGTTTGTGTTGGTGTGTGCATATGTGTGTTTGTGTGCATGCATGCACATGTGTTCGTGAATGTGCCTGTGCGTGCATATGAAGTGGGCCAGGATTGGGAGAAGAGAGGCTTCCAGCTGGATGTTTTTATTTCCCTGAATGACCCAGTGACTCAGGAGAGTCCCTCGCCTTACATCTCGGGAGCCAGGAGCAGGCAGGCACAGATCAGGGGAGGAAGGCAGGTGATTATGGTTTGTCATTTGTGGGTGGATGGCATCTGGGTGCAGCCCCTGGCACAGACTGACATAACAGTTCTGTCATTTACTTGCTGTGTGGCCTTTACCTGCTACTTAACCTCTCCAAGCCTCACTTTCCCCACGTATGAAGCAGGGATAACAGAACAGCATACCCCATAGCGCTGGGAAAGGATGAGGAGACAATCCAGGTGAAACGTGCTCTCTGAACACAGATGTGACAGTAGTTTGGCACATCAGGGATGTGTGCCTCACAGGTGCAAACTCACCGAATCTTTACAAGGAGCTCACGAGGTAGGTTCTGTTATGTCCCCAGGTTACAGGTGAGGAGACAGAGGCACAGAGAAGTAAAGGCCCAAGGTTGTGTAGCTTGGCAGTGGCCCCCTCCCCGGGCAACATGTACCCACGACTCCCTGGCTGTGTTCGTCATTAACATTAGCTTTGCTCTGAGTCTGGGATGCCAGCTTGTTCGGGCAGAAAGGGCCTACAGAGTCTCTTCCTCCCTCTTGTCACATGTGTCCCCAGTTTCACAGGTAAGGAAATGAGGCCCTGACAGGTTTGTGTCTAGTCACAGGACAGACCAAGTGTTGCGGAAGATGAGAAATGTCAACGCTTGTTTACATTACTGTCACATACCAAAGTAGACTCAAAGTACCAACTTCGGAGGGAAAGTGACGAGCCACCAAACTGCCCCAGAGCCGCAGCCTCCAGACCCCAGCAGAGTCATCTCCTTGCCTCCCCGTGAGCCTCTCCAACCTCCCAGCAGCTCCCTCGAGACCACGCAACATGCCGTCCCAGCTCTCTCTACCTCTCTTCCTAGGACGCAAGCCCAGTGGACTTGAAAAGCCATGCCAGATGCTCACAGGCAGACCCAGTGCTGAGCACTGGGAGGAAACACGCCCCACCCCCCGGTTCTGTAGGAGACGAGAAACTATCAGTGTGGAGCATCTGGGCACATCTCAGACTTGTGGCTTCCTTCAGGGTTGGCTCAGAAGTTTCAGGAATCTGCCCTCACCCTACGGGGAAAGTTGGTTTCCGGGATTTGAGGTTTTAGCACAGGGGATTTTATCTATTTGTCTCTGGGACTGCCCCTTTGCACCACAGCAGAGCCTGGGTGGCTTCTCTTGTCCCGTCCCATGGAGCCTCGAGGCCAGGGATGCAGCTGGGGCCTAGTCCATGCCTGATCCTGGGATGCCATACTGTATCCCAGACCTCACCTTGCCTTCCAAACTCCAGAACGGCCCACTGCCTCCCACTGCTCTATCCTCTAGTCTCTCACCCTTCCCCAGTACCGGCAATCCTGATCAAAGTCTCCCACGTGCCCTGGCTTCTCTGGACCCCAAAGCCCCACTTGCCTTCTCACAGGGGCCTTTGCCCATTTCCTCCTCCCTCTACACTGCGCATGCACCTCTGCCGTCCCTCCCGGGACCCATTTACCTTCCTAGGCTGGCCCATCCTTCCGCTTTTAGATGCTACGTGTGCCGTGTGTTGGGCCTCTTGCTCACTGGGGACCAGAAAAACAAAACTTATCATCTGACTGCCCTATTTTTTCTTTCTTTCTTTTTTCTTCCCCCCTAAGAATGAAGCAAGCACTTCTCTACTCTCCTCAGAAGGAGCTTCAAATGTAGCAGGCCGCTGGCAAAAGAAGTATGTTCTTCTCAGAGGAAGGAGTGCAATCGTTAACAGTAAGAGGAAATGAAACCTAGGATTTACGGAGGCCTTGGGTTTATGAACCATTTCACACCTATTGGGTCATATGACACAGCAAAGCGGGAATAACCAAAGTGCCGTCTCCACGCAGGAGAGGAGGAACTGGGGTGGAAGGGCACCGTTCCTGGGACAAGGGCAAGCCCCCAGCTGCCGCGGCTGGTGAACTGTCCTTCCTTTTGTACATGTAACTGTGCTAACTTGTTCACATAAACATTAAAAAAGATTTGTGTTCAATGACCCTATCTTAGCATCCTTCTTTTTTCAAATGCAGTAGCCTTGGAGGGTGGAAGCAACGAAGCACTCTCCAGATCCGGGTCCTGAGGTGAGCTAGGCAGAGCCATTTGGGAAGCTGTAAAGTGCTTTCTTAAAACAAACAAACAAACAAACAAACAAAAACCACCGCCTGCATTGCACAATGAAGGATCCGGGCATGGCATACAGATTTGAAGCGCAGAATTGGGTGCCCCTAAAGCTTTGCCTGGCTCCCATTAGCCTGGAAAAAGAATCTGGAAGTAAACAGCCCAGCCCCTCCCCCTCTGGGAGACACCGTTGCCCCAACCTCCTCCACCTCAAAATCCCAGGCTATGGCCGTGAACTTCAGGGCCTCGTAAAACCTCTTTGATAAATGATCGCCAGGGTGGACCTGCCACCGGGGATGATGGGACAAACACTCCACATAAATCTTGAGTGTGCTCAAAGGCTCCCTTGCTGCTGGCTTCTCAACAGACCCCTGATTTGCAGCACAAAATCCACAGCAATCATTTATGTGGTTAACTCCCAGCCTTCTGAGCCGGGGAGCTTTCTGGAGAAGGTAGGGCATGTGTGGGTGGGGGAGGGGTGGAACAAAAGCAGAAGGTAATGACTTGGAACCGCCTTAAGGGTGCCTAGCACGCAGTAGGCGCTCAGTACAAACCAGTGTGTGTCCTCCAGGGTATACAGGTAGCAGCTACTGTTCCCTGCACACTGACTACACACGAGGCACTATGTTCAGAGCTGGCGTCATCATCTAGTTTAGATCTCAAGACAGCCTGAAAAATAGGCACGCCACCCAATTTTACTGACACCGAGGCTGGGAACACTGAATGCGCGTCCCAGGATCACAGAGCTGGGACGCGGTGGAGCTGAATTTAAGCAGAGGCGGTCTGGCCCAGGAGCTGTCCTCTAACGCAGGCTGACATGAGCCCAGCGCCTGGCCTGCCAGGCCAGCCTCCCCTGATCCTTTGCAATAAAGGCCTCCTTGTCCCTGGCTGGGTCCTGCTAGGCAAGCTGTCGGTCAGGGCTTGCTGGATGACTTTGAGTCTGGCCTAGGGCTTCACCAGCAGCCCTGCCCCAGCCCAGGCTTCCCTAACCCTCAGCGGCCAAGCTTTCAGGCCCTGGAATATACTCAGTGGGCTGTAGTAGGTCCTCGGGGCTGGCTAACAGGGGCTGGAGAGTCGGCGGCAACAGATTCTTTCCAGCTGTTACTCTGAGTCACTACAGGATATTCCAAAGCCTGACCGCCAGCCTGCCTGCCTGCCTACCCTGGTCTTTCACTTTTGCCATTAGCTGGGGCTGAACTCAGTGATGGGGGTGCCAGCCAGGCTGAACACGTGTCTGACGCTGACCCGGGCTCTTGCTTCATAATGACCTTTAGTTGCAGTGTGACCTCCATACAGAAAACTGTGCATCGTCATATGGGTACAGCTTGTGGAATTGTCACAAATTAGGCACGTCTGTGTAACCCGCACCCAGAAATAAGGCCTGTCCCGTCTCCCAGCAGCGCCCTCAGCTCCCCCTTGCAGGCGCCACCCTCCACCAAGGCTGACGACGTACAGCCAAAAATCCAGGCATCCTGGCTTCTAACACCGGGTTGTGTTTTGGGGTGTTTTTTTTTAGCTGCTTTATTGAGATATAATTCATGTGGCACACAATCCACCGGTTCAGTGGCGTACACTTCCATGGCTTCTAGGACCTTCAGAGTTCTGCAGCCGTCACCATGGGCAGTTTGAGAACACTGTCATCGCCTCAGAAAGAAACCCCATTCTTTTGAGCTGTCACTCCTCAGTCCCTCAGGCCCTGGCAACCGCTGCTCCCCTGTCCGTCTCCATGGATGTGCCCATTCTGGATGTGTCATGTAAGCGGAATCACACACAAGTGGCCTTTGTGCCTGGCTTCTCTCACCCGGCGTGCTGTGTCCAGGCTCGCCCCCGTTGTTGTGGGTGCCAGCACAGACGGCTTCCACACCTTGTGTAAACAGAATGCAAGTGTTCTTTGAGTCTGGCTTTCGGCTCTGTGTGACGTCTGTGAAATTCTTCCCTGTGCCTGTATATAGGAGCCTTTTTATTGCCTTTTTATTGCTGTATGGTATTCCATTGATGAATATACCACAACTTATTCACCCATTCCACTGTTCATGGGTTTGGGGTAGTTCTCGTTTTAGGCCGACATGAATACTGTTTCTCTGAACACTCTCACCCATCCATGTCTTCCCTTGGAAACACACGAGGAGGCGTCTGTGTTAGGTAGATACCTAGGCGTGGAATTGCTGGCTGTGGGGTAGGCGTACGTCCAAGCTCAGTTCATACTAAGATGTTTCACACCACATTTGGGGTGGCTTGTGGGCTTCCCAGGGTTCCCTGCTTCCTGACCCCTCCTTTCAGCGGCCCACCCACCAGCCAGAGCCCGTGGACCGTCTGCCTGCGGGGCAACCAGCCCTGCCTGTCCGAGCAGCCCCGGGAAACCCACGTGGGCTGCGAAGGGAAAGGGCTTGGAGGCCGGTGTTGTCCTTGGGTTGTGCGCGCACGCGTGGTTTCTCTGCCCTGGCTCTGAAACTATGTTCCTTTCACGGGCCAGAAATACTTAGGCATGGCTCACTCTAAAAGGGGAAACACATTTTAAAATTCCAATCTGCCCAGCTGTCGAGAGGATGGCGCTCACCAGGAACAGTGACTTACAGTCCCTGGTTCCCACTTTGGGGCCTGACTCCACTCACGCCTGTGTTCAAAGCATGTTTCTTGTGTGCCTGCCCATCTCAGGGACTAAGTTGGACACCGAACAGGGCCTCTGAAAATGGCCAGCAGGATGGTACGGGGGTGGGGGGGGGGCATGTCTTAGCATGAGGGGATCCCAGACCCTTCGTGAGCCAAGATCTGTTCTAAATCTCCATCCGTTGTCCATTTGATCCTTCCAGTGACCAGATGAGGTAAGGGTACGAGTATTCTTTTTCCACTTTACAGATGAGGAGACTGAAGCCCAGAGAGGCCAAACGACTTGCCCAAGATCACACAGCCTCTGTTGCAGAAGTGGAATTTGAACCCAGAGCCCCCACTTTTAAGTACTGTACCACGTGGCCTCCGGATTTGGTTAGAAATCTCAGCTCTGCCCCTTCTTCTCTGTGTGACCCTTGGCAAGAGGCTGAACTTCTGAGCCGTGTTTCCTTAGTTCATATAGGCGTGGAGAAAACTGTGCGTCCCTGCCCCCGCTGCCACAGGGCGGCCAAACACCAGAACACGGCAGTGCTGCGAACAAAGCAGGCACCGCAAAGTGGTCCGTTTCACCCCCGCCACCCCCCAAATGGCATCCACCCCCCAGAAGTGCATGTCTTCCAAAGCATGTATTCTGGGAGAGAGCTGAGACTTTGGATCTTCTCCAGGCCACCCCTTTATTTAACAGGTGGAGGGCCCAAGGCCCAGGGCAGCCCTGACCCCTCCAAGGTCACTCTCAGTCTCGAGGAGAACTCTCAGCCCGAAGCTCTTCCACCCCGTTGGAAAGTGAGGCTCATAGTTTTAAGGCCAAGGTGCCCTCACCCATTCGTTCAAGAACTTACTTCTTCCTGAGTCCACCTCTTCCTCGGGGCCCAAAGCTTAGCTCGAGTGATGGAAGCTCTGGTTTTAAGACAGAACCAGAGCCAGTCTGATGCTCTGGTGGTCCGCATGGACTCCAGGCTCACTGCCAAGTGGGGTGGGGTGGCTGCCGGCACAGAGGCTGGGAGTCAGGCCTGGTGTCCCGTTGCCACTCTGGCTGGGCACCCTGACGTGCCTTCCAGAAAGACTATCTCCCAGCGGGGCCACCCGCGACCCTGCTCGGCCATTAATATTTATCACACCTGAAAGCTGAGCCCCTGGAGAAGTGAAAAACAGCCGTGAACAGGTGCCACAGTGGCTGGCACCCCAACCCAGGCTGTGGGCAGCTGGGGGCGCTTAGTAAAGGTGAAGGGGCTGGATGAGGTGGGCTGAGCACAGGGCCCCCTCTGGGAACCGAGATCTCGAAGGAGGGAAGCGGGAGACCAGGAAGCGGACACCTCATTATAAGAAGCTGGAGGTCCCACTGCCATGGGTGTGCGAGGCCAGAGGGCGGGGAGGACCTCGAGGGCCCCCGGCCTGGGCCGGAAACCAGGAACTGGGGGATGGGTTGGGCAGGGCAGCTGTGGCTGCTTCCCCTCTGGGGATACCTCACATCTGCTCCCTACCCAGGAGACACGTGGCCTTTTCAAAAGTGCAAATCTGGTTATGGCTTCCTTACTGCTTAAAATCCTTCTCAGTTTCCATAGCTCTCAGGTTAGAGAACAAACTCCCTGTTTGCTGGCACCTGCCGGTGTCTCCAGGAGACCTCAGGGCCTCTAAGGACCTTCCCAAGGGATACCACACTCTCAGCACCGCAGGACCTTTGCACGTGCCATGTTTATGGCCCAACACTTGATTCCCTCCCCGTGCCTATTTAACTCGTGCCTGTGCCAGGCATAGCCACTCCTCACCCTTCTGCTTTTTAGGCGGACCCTGCAAAATGCATTTACCAGGTCCCCTTGCCTTCTGGCTTCCCACTGTGTTCAGCCAGTGGAGACCAAAGGGCAGGTGGGGGGAGGAACCGGGGTATTTCTTCCTCTCTGCCTATCCCCCTCTCCTCCACTTTTCCTTTCCCCTCCCCACCTTTCCCCTTCTCTGTTCTTGCCACCTTCCCTCGTGCCACCGTTAGGCAGTGTCCCTGGAAATGGCTATATTTTCTCTGTGGCCCCAGCAGCTCCAGTAACTCTGTCCCTTCTTTGTCTCTCCAGCCCAGGGCGATGGCAGCTTCCTGCACTTCCTCATCTCTCCTATTTGCTCTTGCAACTACATTATCACTTTTATACCCAGATCCCGCCCTTTTATCCCCCCCTTCTGAGCCACCTTACACAGGTGTCTTTTCCCTGACGTCACTTGGCTCACCCTTTGGCTCCCACATGAGGGTCGGACCTCACAGGCGCCTTCCTGGCCCCCTGGCCT